AAAATAATAAATTTTAAATTAAAAGAGAGAAAAGCCTTAATTTTGACAGTATCGAAACTAGAACACCATTCACAGGCCTCCTTAGAGCAGATCTTTATTTTATTTTCACCGATAAATTTGAGCGCCAGATCTGAACAATATATGCAGAAATGGTAGCATTGGCTTTGGCAATAATACATTCCATATTCAGGAATTTATCTAGTCAAATGGAAAAGTTTTCCTTATAAGGATTTGATTTTGATTTAAAAGTTTATATGCAGCTATATGCTATAGTGGCCTGATATGAACAATTTATTCGGAAATTGTAGCTTTGCTACGGATAATTATTCATACCAAATTTCGTTAAGACAGCTCGTCAAATATAAAAGCTTTCCAATCGAGGACTTATTTTTTATAAGCCAGCTTGTATCGCAATTATATGCCAGAGTGGTCCGCTATCGGCAGTTCGAATAAAAAACAAGCTTCTTAGAGAGAAAAGAACGTGTGCAAAATTTCCGATCGATATCTCAAAAACTGTGAGACTAGCTCGCGTATATAACGTCGGAAAGACAGACATAGCTGAAGCGATTGAGCTCATCCGTATATATGCATATAGAAGGTATTTTTATTGGATCTCCGACTTTCACTTTCGGGTGTTACAAACTTCGGAGCGCACATAATATACTTAATTATAACAATATCTGTTCAGGGTACAAAATATTTTGAAACAAATAATAAGTTAATTACCAAAAAAACTCAAACAAAAAAAATAATTAAATTAATATTTTTAAATAGCATTATATGTAATTCCATTAAAAAAAATTAAATTGAACTGGTCTGCATTGCTTACAAAAATTACATTTTCAACACCTTTTACGTTTTTTTTTTATAAATTTTTGGCGGGCGCACTAGAAGTTAATTTTTCATGGCAACCAAGGTAAAGAAACATTCACCAAAAGCTTTAGAAAAATCATAATAAAAAAGTTAACTAAATTTGAAAAAAAACTGAGAACCATTACGCACAAAAATAAATAAATAAAAACAAAGATAAATGCCGCTACTCATTGCTGGAAACAGTTAAAAGCATTTGTTCAATACACTTTGCCCAACACCAGACTATTTGGCTCTAAACGGCGCGCTGCAGAGTCAACACAGTTGGAAGCAAATAAAAGCTTTCTTTAATGGGTATTTCAGCACTGTGTGTCCCCGCTGTTATTGTGGTTGTCTTTGAAGAAACTGTTGCCATTTAATACCTTTAATTGTTGGCAAATAAACAGAAGTGAAAATAAAAATAAAAACAAAGCTATGAAGTGCCGGCACAAAGTAACCAACAAGATGTAATGAGTGACTGGAAGAAGCGACAAAGCGGAGAAGGTCAAAAGCCGCAGAATGCTGTGAGTGTTTATATGTACAGGCTAATGATGATGCAGTTGATTTAAGCAAAATATTTGTATACTTTCGGTTGGAATCGCATATCAGAAACATTAAAGCGCACTTAATTTCGGTTATTAGTTGCTTAGAGGAGTTTCTATTTAAGTATAGTTTTATAGTTCTTGATCGATTAGAGCATTAAGACGTGTCTTGATCTGATCTAGTTTCACCGAAAATTTTCGAATTTTTCCATATACAATATATATAGCCCGTTAGCCGTTTGCTAAAAAATTAGTTATTTTACCATAACTTCGTAAATCATTTATCTACATAATGACATAAAATTTTGTGAAATTCTTTATATAAGTGAAAAATTGGTAATGAAAATGATCACAATTGAACAAGTATAGCATACACCGCACATACAAGCGCTCGCTCAAAAATTAGATTTTTTGTTATAATTTGGAAAATCAAGTAACTAATGACAGGCAATTTTGTGAAATACTTCTTTATTTTGTGAAAAAATGAGTGGGGAAAATCATCAAGATTATGCAACTATAGCACATAGTTTCAGTACAACCGATTGTGCAAAAATTAGATATTTTATCATAACCCTCTCAATGAAATAGCTGTGATCACCACATTTTATGAGATTCTTTGTTTATGTGTATAAAAAGCACCCAACAAAAATCAATCAAATCGGAAGACTATAACATATAGTTCCCATGCAATCGATTGTTCAAAAATGAGATATTTTGTCCTAGCTCTCTCAAATATATGTGTACGATCACTAAATTTTGTCAGATTCCTTACTTATGCAAATAAAAAGCACACAACAAAAATCAGCAAAATCGGAGCACTATAACATATAGTTCCCATGCAATCAATTGTTCAAAAATGAGATATTTTGTCTTAGATCTCTCAATTACATGGCTGCGATCACTAAATTGTGTGAGTTGCTTTATTTATGCAAATAAGAAGCGCACAGCGAAAATCATCAAAATCGGAGCACTATAACATATAGTTACCATACAATCGATTTTTCGAAAATGAGATTTTTTGTAATAACTGCATAAATCAAATAGCTAATAGGCCGAAATTTTGTGAAATAGTTTCTTAGTATGTATGAAAATGTGACAGTAAAAATCATGCAGTTTGCACAACCATGGCATATAACTGCCATACAACCGATTGTTGGAAAATGAGATTTTTCGTTATAACTTCGTAAATAAAGTGGCTAAAGACACGAAATTTTGTGTAAAACTTTCTCTACAGTAGTAAAACGTGAGCACTGAAAATTGTCGAAATCGGTCAACTATAACATATAGCTACCATACAAACACTCTTTAACATAATACGGTTTGTATGTAATAACTGTTTTAAAAATGTTGTATACTGTAGATATTGTTGTTTTTTATAAAATTACGTTGCTATTTTATTGCTGTGACTAAGCCATTGTCTGTTTCCCACAAGCCCTTAGACACATTTTAGCGCAAAAAAGTTTCAAATAAAAAAATTTTGTAAAAAAAAAAAGTTACACAACACTCTCCTAACGCGTCGATAAATCTATTAGAATAATTTGTCATTTCACACGTCAACTTTGAGTACAGATTCCCAAGCCAGACCTAGCCCGCTTGCAGTAGATGAGATAAAATAATGCGATTCTCACACTTACCAATACAAAAACAGCAGCTATACGCGAAGATGTGTGTGTGTGGCTGATGAATTGCAGTTAGCGGCAACTACAACAACAATATAGCATATAATTTTTACACTTTTCTTTGTTTAATACTTCGTTTCGCTTTCGTGTGTGCGCCCAGGCAATGCTGGAGAACAAAAGTATGGGTTTTTACAACGTTTGTTGTTGTTGTTGTTTAACGCTATGGTATTGCTAAGTAAAAATGCAAATCGAAGCCGCAATTAAAACGTCAACTAATGACAGTTGAGGTTGCGCTGCTGGCGACGTCGGCGCATTTGTTGTTGCACTGAGCAGCTACTTGTTGTAGTTGTTGTTGTTGTGGTGGTATTGCAATCACTATACATATATGTAGTTATATTATATACACTTTGGTTTTATGCTAGCAAAAAACTAATTATTGTTGTTGCTTTTGTTGTTGTAAGCACTAATAAACCGCTAGGCTGGTACTGAATTGCAGGCGTTGCAGCTGCGCGGCCGCTATTTGACGCTCAACGCTTTTGTAAACGGTTAGTTTGGGCGTGTCAATACACCTTTGTGAAAAGTTGCACAACAACAACAATAAAATGTCATAATAAAATGTTATTGTTGTTGTTGTTACGGCTGCTGCTACTTCTTTGCGACACAGCGCGAAATTAACTGTCAGAGCGGCGCAGCGCAGTTGACATGCAAATGCAACATTTATGATTGCTGCTGCCGTTGTTGTTGKTGTTGGTTGCTTATAATGACGCTTGCCACATCACAGTCATACGCTAGCCGCTGCCTCACACAACACAACCAACTGTCTGTTTTTTGTTGTTTTTTTTTTGCACAAACACTTTTTCGCCACTTTTGCTGCTTTTCCGTTTAACACTTTTTCACACTTTTTTCGTAGTTGCCACTGATTTTTATTTTATTTTATTTTTAATTTTTTTTTCGCTTACTTCACTCACTTCTTACGCGCTGTTTTCGTCATTTATTGCTGTTGTTGTAGGCAAAAAAAAAAGAAGGTTAAATAGTAATTTAAAAAAATACAAAAACAACAACAACAAAAATGCAGTTAAATGCTTTGCATTGTTTTGCTTAAGAATTTCTGCTTCATTTTGTTGATTTATTTTTCGTAATTTTCGCTCTGCGTGCTGGCGTTCACATTAGCTGTGTGTTGTTGTTGTTTTAGTTACGGCTGTGCTCATTAATATTTCCTTTGGTGTGCTTTCATTATTGTTGCCGTTTTTTAGTTGTTGCTTTTTGGTTTAAATTCTCGATTTCCGCTTACATTAGCGCACACACACTTACATACAAATACATGCATATATGTATGTATATATAAGTGTACATATGTATATTTGTGTACAAAGCCACGCACATACGCTGCGCGACAAAAAGCGCAACGACCACAGCAAATTAGCGATTGGCCGTTGTAATGTGCTTGTTGTTTTATTTTTTGTATTTAAATTATTTAAAGTTTTTTGTGCATTTTGCGAAGCATTGTAAATTTATTTTTTGTTTTGTTATTTTTTTTTTAATTTTTTGCAATCTTTTTTTTTTTTTTTTGATGTGCTTTTAGGCAGTTGATTTCCGCTCATTGTGCGTCACATTCACTTTGCTTACGACACGCATACACATGTAAACCCATATATATACATACATGCACTCACAGGTGCACAAACATACACACATTCTTACATATATTCGTATAAGGGTTTGAAAGCAAGAATGTTGAAGGCGACACCTTAAACGGCGCGCCGTTGGTGGCACAAATATTTCCGTGGTCGCTTAAAAGAATTTCATTAATTCCATAAATTTTAATATTTAAATAAAGCATATTAAATGCATAATTGCAGACTTTTGTTAAAAACAACTATTTCGACTTAAGCCGGTTTTCGTTTAATGAAATTTAATTTATACTTTTATAGTATTTTAAATAACCGAAAAAAAATGTCTGATGGTAGGTCTCTAGGTGGCATATTTGCATAAAAAAATGCTTGAAAATTGCGTGACAATAATTCAATACACAGTTTGCGAAGATACACCCTTTATACCCTTGTATTCGAACAGTTAAAGTTAAAGTTTTTTTTGTTTATTTGCATTTTTTTTAGTTAAAAAATTTATAAAAATATTATTTTTT